ACAACAATGACGGCTGCAACCAAAAAATAGCCGGGCGTTGTGGCGGGCGCCTGTGGTCCCAGCTACTTGGGAGGCGGAGGCAGGAGACTCGCTTGAGCCCAGGAGTTGGAGGTTGCTGTGAGCTGTAATGATGCCACGGCACTCTACCCAGGGGGACAGCTTGAGGCTCTGTCTCAAAAAAAAAAAAAAAAATAACTGTACTCTCCACTCCTGTCCCCCTTCCCTCCATTTACTTACTCAGGCCAAGGTCACCACACACCATCTCGTGCAGAGTCAGTAGTGCCTTCCATTCCTCTCTCTCTCAGGCCTTCCTGTTTGAAACTCTTTCCTTCTTTGGCTTGTGAGACTTTACTCTCTTTGTCATATGGGTTTCAGAGCTGGACAACAAGGTTCTCCTTCCATTATCATTAATTCCTTCCATGTTCAGTTCCCCGTGCTTATTTGCACTTAAGTTTTCTCCATAGATCTCTCTTCACATCACTTCACTCCAGCAGTGCTGTCCACTGTGGTTTCCATTGAGGATTCCCAACTGCAGCCTCTCTTGATGCTGCTGGAAGGCCAAACTGTGGCCTCCTCCATATGAGTTGCCCACAGGCACCCTTGTGATTTTAAATCCGGATGTTCATAACCGCCCATCTTCAGTTTGCAAATCCCAGCCCACCTCTCATATTTGCAAGGCCTGGGTCAAGAATACAAATGGGACCCCACATACTGTAAAAAATTAAGATGAGAAACACTAAATAGAATATGTTTTCTCCTCCCACCATGGTAGACCTTATTAATGACTTAGAAGGCCAGGTTCAAATAGAGAATTCTTAGGCTTCTTAGACTTCCGTGCCAGCAGTTCCAGAAGCCCTGTTGCCTTCTTGGCCACTGCACTGTCCGCCGCTGTGAGCTGAGCCTTTGGACGTTGCTCACTGCCTGCAGGCTCAGCACAATGGTGCACACCCTGGGCATAGGCCTGCACAGCCCTGCTGGCCCCAAAACAACCTAATGGGAAGGGATGTGGCTGGGTAAGGGCCAGGGTCCCCACAAATAGCTCAGTTTCTCTCTCCGTGTGTTTCTTCTTGCTTTCCTTTGTCTGTACGTTTCTGATAGAAGCTTCTCATTATTCAGGATATGGCTTATAAAGGCTTCATCTTGTTTTAATCCTTCCTTTAATACTCTGTTTGGAACTAAACTACCCAGCTTCTTGTCTTTTAGAAGTTCTTTACTATGATAAAAGGCAGATTATGTTGTGTGTTCCTGTCTCCTTCCCTTACTAAATTGCAAGTTTATTATGAGCAAGATCATTATTTGTCATTGCCGCCAATTCTAATATGAAGTCTCACAAATGAGAAGTGCCTAACAAGTGTGGTTGGAATTCACCACAGCTCTCACATCACTCTCCTGTTGTTGTAACCCTATCAAAACAGGAAATGAAGTTACCATGACTTGTTAATAATTGACTCATGCTGGTTCCCTTTTCTCCCCTAAGCGATTACAAAACATCAGTTAAATAATTGTCAGTTTTGGGTGGCGCCTGTGGCTCAATGAGTAGGGCACAGGCCCCATATACTGAGGGTGGTGGGTTCAAACCCTGCCCCGACCAAACTGCAACAAAAAAATAGCTGGGCGTTGTGGCAGGCACCTGTAGTCCCAGCTACTCAGGAGGCTGAGGCAAGAGAATTGCCTAAGCCCAGGAGTGGGAGGTTACTGTGAGCTGTGATGCTATAGCACTTACCAAGGGTGACAAAGTGAGACTGTCTCTAAAAGTAATAATAATCACCAGTTTTGTGGACTTCTAGTCTCACTTTTTTTTTTTTTTTTTTTTTGGAGATAGAGTCTCACTTGGTCACCTTCAGCTGACTTCACAGCTCACAGCATCCTCAAACACTCAAACTCTTGGGCTCTAGCAATTCTTTTGCCTCAGCCTCCCAAGTAGCTGGGATTAGAGGCACCAGCCACAATGCCCAGCTATTTTTAGAGACGGAGTCTCACTCTGTCTTAGATGGGTCTGAGACCTGTGATCTCAGGCAGTCCGCCTGGCCTCAAGACTCCCACTTTTATTGGTTAGTACACTCAGAAATCTCCGTTTCCACCCAGACCACCTCTGGAAGGAGCCTTATATCCAAATAGCCCTGGTTCCTTTTTTTCCCCCTTAAACTACATTGCTAAGAAGTAATTAATTTACAATATATCGTACATATTTAAAGTATAAAATTGGATGAGTTTGGACACATCATGTATTCCCATGAAATCATCAACACAATTAGGATAGTGAATATACTCATCACCTCCAAGTTACCTATTATCCTTGGTGACTCACCCTTCCCAGGAAACCTGCTGCTCTGGATTCTGTTCCTATAGATTAGTTTATATTTTATGTAAATGGAAGTACCTTTCTTTCTTCTGGCCTCACTCGGCATAATTACTTGAAATTCATTTGTGTTGCATATGCTAATAGTCAATTCCCTTGTATTGTCAAGTAGCAGAAACCTCTCTGTTTAGAGAGCTGAGAGGAGTGTGTGTTCACCTCTAACCTTGGCCTCTTCCCATTCCCCACAATTTATGGGGATCACATTCATTTGAGACTAGAGACTGTGTTCATTTAAGATGACTGGGTGCTCTCAATGTCTTGAGGTCCTCAATGGGAGAGAATTATTTATAACCTTTGTGTCCTAATAATAGGCTGTTTCTCAGTACATAGAAGATACTAACCCAGTGCTCAGTAGAAGTCTCCTCTGTGTGTGTGTGTTAAATAATATACCCAATTCTAGGTTTTATTCTGTTTTGTATTATTTTTTTGAGACAGGGTCTCTATTACCGAGGCAGAGATGTCATCATAGCTCAGAGCAACCTCAAACTCCTGAGCTCAAGCAGTCCTCCTGCCTCAGCCTCTCTAGTAGTTGGGACTACAGGCATGTAATACAAGTTTTTTTTTTTGTAGAGACATAGTCTTGATCAGGCTGGTCTAGAACCCCTGAGCTTGAGCAGTGTCCCTGCCCCTCAGCTTCCCAGAGCACTAGGATTATAGGCATGAGCCACCACACCCAGCTTATTTATTTAAAGAGTATTTCTCCTATAGGGATGAGTTAGGAAGCTCTTCATCCTCTTAACCCTGAACAATATGTTTAACTTTGACTTTTATTTTTGAAAAGAGCAAATTTATCATTTACGATAAAATATATAAATCCTAAAACAACCCATCTAAAGTTTGTAAAATCCCAAACTGCAACCATAAATGGTTTATAAGAAACACATTTGTAGCAAAGGGCTGTGGCATGGTGGTTGTTCAGGATGAAAGGAGGATGACCAAAGATTAAAACTCTCAGAGGAAATCAAAACAGGATTGGTGATGTCAAAGTGATTTTATAGATACCGGAATGTCTATGATAAGTCTATTTACTTGCTGAGTATCAGGACAATTAAATATGAGTATATAAAACAGAACTGAGAAGTCCAAGGAGAAGCTTACAAATACAGAGTTGTGAGGGAAGCAGGTGACTTTGTGTGAGCAGAATGGCCAGGTAAGACAGACGGTGGCTTCACTGCCACAGGCGCACCTTTCTAAGTGGGGACAGGCGAAGGCCATCTCATGTTTTCTCACCTAAGATGGGGTGACCTGGTGTTTCATTTCGTGATTGAGTATTGCTTTACCATAAACGCCTCCCTTTAGCAGTCTTGTTGGATTGTAATTTCATGAAGCAAATTTATGGCCCTGTTTAACTACTTTCTTCAGGAAAACTAGAAGTTTATAATGTTGAGTATAAACCAGTATTTTGCTGCTATTTTAATTATACTTTCTCTTGTTGAACTTATGGTCTATGATTTGAATTATTGAAGGTTGATTGAATTATTTATCTCTTTGCCTGCCTACCTGAAAGTCACTGATTTGGGCCCTTGTGCAGCAGACCAAAGCAAAATAAGATTTGAGTTGTTATCCTTTTAAATAAGAAAATAGTATTTTATTTCAAAGTATTTGGGGCCTTCTATGTGCTGTGTATTAGTGGCATTGTGGGATAATTGGAGCTGAGTGAGACAAAGTCCCTCTCAGAGCACAGTCTTTTGTGGAATCAGACGAATGTTAGCGTAACTAGACTGGTAAACATCATTGTAGAAGCACAAACTTTATGTTTTATATTTTTAGTGCTTACCCTGAGGAATCAAGAAGTATCTTAACTTCCTGTCAGTATTATTTCATTGCTTTGATCATTGGATCAGATGTGGACATTTATTAATGACAAGCTCTTACAGAAAAGATTTCAGTAGTATATTGATCATAAAGATAGGAATACTAGTAATACTCAAGATTCAATTTTATCATAAAATTGAAGGTGTAATTTATGTTATTGCTTATGCTTGGAATTCTGTTAAGCCAGACCTTAAGGAAAGAACTTGGGCCTAATGTTATTGCTACAAAAGTATTTTTCGATGCATACTTCTTAGGTTTTATTATAAAACAATCCAAACATCTTGGTTCAATTTCTTGAGGTGAGGGGAGAAATAGTCATGTCATTTTGCAAGTAAGAGAAAGTTGATACAAGTAATTAGGGTGTTAGCGTCTTAGGTCCATTTTGTTAGAGATGAAGATGTGGTTGATGGTCATTCGAATGTTTCTGCTGAGTCAGAGGAATTCAGTATAACAGACAGCAGGCAATTGTTTTGAAGGCAAAAGTGATTACTCTCACCAGAATGCAGTTGCTATTTAAGACAGTGAGAAAATGCCTTTTTGTATGTGTGCCATGAACCTGTGTTTCTGAGTGTGTGAAAACAGGCATCAATCAACAGAGGGGTGGGCCCTCTGTTAAGTATGATATTCAGTGTGTGCTCTCTGAATCAGCTGCATCCATCCACCCTTGCTTGACTCCTTTTTGTGGTAATATACATGCCCCTTTCACAGGTATGAAACAGGGTTTACACAGAGTGTTAAAAATTTAATACTTTACCACTTTGCATTCTTTCTGCTACGATATTCTGGTGGGCTGTTTTTAATGCCGTCTCTCTCTCTTTTTTTTTAGTTCTGCTTATGATAATGTCAACAAAGTTCGTGTAGCTATCAAGAAAATCAGTCCTTTTGAGCACCAGACCTACTGCCAGAGAACCCTGAGAGAGATAAAAATCTTACTGCGCTTCAGACATGAGAACATCATTGGAATCAATGATATTATTCGAGCACCAACCATCGAGCAAATGAAAGATGTGTATCCTTTTCAGGCGGCTAGCTGATTCCACTGCCTGTCATCATGTTGAATAAATACAGAGGGAGCCAAAAATATGTGTGCACATTCTGAGAGAAAACACTATCCTCAGGCCTGGCACGTCCATAATCCTAACACTTGGGGAGGCTGAGGCAGGTGGATTACCTGAGTTCACAGGTTCGAGACCAGCCTGCACCAGAGCAAGACCCTGTCACTAAAAATAGCTGGGCATTGTGGTGGGCGCCTGTAGTCCGAACTACTTGGGAGACTGGGACAAGAGAATCGCTTGAGTCCAAGAGTTTGAGATTGCTGTGAGCTGTGATGCTATGGCATTCTACCGGGGGCAGTGAAATGAGACTGTCTTAAAAAGAAAGCTATCCATTTCCTGCTTGTTACATGTTGATACAGGGATACATTTGATTAATGCTATCTTTTGAGCAAATGTCATATTACACATTGTTGCCATAATTCAGTTCAACTTAGAAAAAGGTAACCTCTCTTAAACTGTGTATATACTTTTTTGGTACACGCTGTTTAACTTGAAATTTCCTCTACTTAGGCAAAGGAAAACTTCATAAAGCATGTTATATAGATTGAATATATAGATTGTAATTTGCTCCCCATTTGCCATAACATTGCATCATTTAAAGTTTTTCTCTGATTTGTTTAATCAGTTGTCAGTAGGTAAGTCCAATATTTTCTCTTTCAATTTCTGTAAAGATTTTTCTTTAGGTGTAGTTATAGAAATAAGTCTATGTTTCTTCAGTCTTTTTTTTTTTTTGCATTTTTTTTTTTTTGGTTGGGGCTGGGTTTGAACCTGCCACCTCTTGTATATGGGGCCAGCACCCTACTCCTTTGAGCCCCAGGCACTGCCCTCTTCAGTCATGTTTTTTCATTCAGGAAACGATTTGTTAAGATGGAGAAAGCGGGTGGCGCTGGCTTCATACACCAAGGGTGGCAGGTTCAAACCTAGCTCCGGCCAAACCACAGCAAAAAAATAGCCAGGTGTTGTGGCGAGTGCCTATAGTCCCAGCTACTTGGGAGGCTGAGGCAAGAGAATCACCTAAGCCCAGGAGTTGGAGGTTGCTGTGAGCTGTGTGACGCTGTCACAGCACTCTACCGAGGGCAATAAAGTGAGACTCTGTCTCTACAAAAAAAAAAAAAAAAGATAGGGAAAGGAAAGAGTAGTAGATGAAGAAAGAGGATGCCTTGGTATGTAAAATCAGGACTGTTCTGGTCTTAGACGTCATATCACATCTTTAGGTGTCAGTTTTCTCATCTTTGAAATGAAGAAATTAGCCCTTAGGATCTTTAAGGCCTGTCTGTTTCTGAAGTTATATGATGAACTATGACTGACAGTTAGAAATCTGGACTGGGCTAGGCTCTGTGGCTCATGCCTGTAATCGTAATACTCTGGGAAACTAAGGAGGGTGGATTGCTTGAGGTTAGGTCTTTGACCCCAGTATGAGCAAAATTGTGACCCTCATTTCTACTAAAAATAGAAAAACTAGCCAGGTGGTGTGGTGGGTGCCTGTAGTTGCAGCTACTTGGGAAGCTGAGGCAGGAGGATTGCTTGAGCCCAAGAATTTGGGGTCGCTGTGAGCTATGACGCCACGACATTCTGCTGAGGGCGACAAAGTGCAAGTTTGCTCAAAACCTGTGGCTCAGTGAGTAGGGTGCTGGCCCCATATATGAGGGTAGTGGGTTTGAACTTGACCCTGGCCAAACTGCAAAAAAAAATAGCCAGGCACAACGTTGTGTCTGGGGACTGTAGTCCCAGCCACTCAGGAGTTTGAAGTAAGAAAATCACCTAAGCCCAGAGCTGGAGGTTGCTTTGAGCTGTGATTTCAAGGCACTCTAGGAGGGCAACAAAGTGAGATTCTGTCTCGTAAAAAAAAAAAAAAAATACATTGCACATACAATGTATTGCATTGGTCTTAGTCTAGGCCCATAACTAGCCACCTCAGGCAGGTATATTGCATACATTGTATATGAGTGCAATATATATATACACATACATATTGCTACCATAATTCAACTTTCATATATGTATAAAAATCTGGCCTGTGGCTCAAAGGAGTAGGGCACCGCCCCATATACCGGAGGTGATGGGTTCAAACCTGGCCCTGGCCAAAAAACTGGAAAAAATAAGTAAATAAATAAATAAAAATCTGGACTCAGCAGGTCCAGAAGATGCTGTCTAGGTAAAGGCTATGTTTGGAAGATAGAAGGGTTAAGTGTATTGAAGAGAATCTGCCAGCAAAGAAAAAGACTAGCACAGCATTCCACCAGCTTGTCCAATTTGCATTCCACCCACCCTCCAGGGAGTGGCAGCTCACGGTCTCTAGGCAGCCCTTTCCATTTTTAAACTGCTCTGTTAAGTTGTAGTGATATTTAAAGTGAAATGCCTCCTGCTTCTACCACCTGTGATCCTCCTTCTTTACCTTTTATCATAAAAACAAGCTTCTTTCAGATGATAGATTTTTATGTCATGTTTCGTTTGAATTCCATGCTGTGTCTCATCTAACATGAATCTGTTGGGGATAGAGAATAGAGTCTACACAGAAATGAATTTTTAAAATGCTAAATGAAGTAATAGTATGTTGAAGTTAAAGGTTAAAACCCTTTATAATTTAAGAAAGAAGGTAGCTGTAGTTACAGTTTTAGGTTCTTAGAGATGTGGGTTAGCAAGAAAGCAAGGGGAGCAAAACTAGCCCAAACCCCTTCTTAGCACGACTTCCGAGAGTCGTCTTTATTTAGTATGGTAACATTAATTGAACAGCCAAGAAAATAGACTTAGGGTTGGATTTAGTAGTAGCAGTCTGTATCTGGACCTTAATAATATAACTTTATATTATTAAGATGATGATATTCCTCAGATTGATCTACAGGTTAACTATAATCTCCTCTATCAAAGGTCCTGGACCTGTATTTCCAGAAGTTTTATGTGGACTGTTTGAGGAGATTGGGAGAGGAGGAGGAGGAGCAGGAGCAGGAAAAGAGGAGAGCACGGTGGCGTTATGGGCTGTTGCTGGGCCACAGAGAGGAGGGAGTATACGATGGTCACTGGGCACCACACTTGGGATTTTCCCATCAAGCCTTAAATAAGGTTTGTTGATGGCAAACAAGGGAACAAGGAGATTGAGACTTCAGGATTGGCCAGTATTTCTACAGTAGCCTGTTTCTGGTCTTAGTGTAGGCTCATAACTGGCCATGTCAGGCAGATATAATGCACATTATCTCACGGGACTAAAAAGAGCTGACAACTTTGGAGCCTCTGTGAAGGTCTGCAAAGTTTCATCAGTCTCTCCTTTCCCACGGGCCTTACAGTGGACTGTTTGCAAAGAGGGTAAAGGGAGAGGGTGCATTTTGTTTTCAGCGTTTGGCTAAGTGTAACCAGCTAATTGATATTTTACCTTAACCTGTCCAAACAGATACATAGTACAGGACCTCATGGAAACAGATCTTTACAAGCTCTTGAAGACACAACACCTCAGCAATGACCATATCTGCTATTTTCTTTACCAGATCCTCAGAGGGTTAAAATATATCCATTCAGCTAATGTTTTGCATCGTGACCTCAAGCCTTCCAACCTGCTGCTCAACACCACCTGTGATCTCAAGGTCAGCCAGTTTGTTTCCTGGTAGGGTGCTGCGTACTGAAAAAACCCAGGTGTAGTTTTTACTGTGGCATCTTTACATTTATCATTATTTGTTTTGAAAGTTCTGCCAGAAATACATGAAAACATTTTTATGGCGAAAATACTAACTAGTAAAGAATGCTAGTCTTCCCTCATCCCATTGCTCCTTCTGCCCCAGAAATAACTAACCATTACAACAAATGGGCATGTTTTCTCCAAAGTTATCCCTGTCCTGTCATTACTCTTTATGTAGATAAATAGGATCATATACATATAAGTTTTAAAGCCATCTGTTTTCATTGGTGACCTTTTTCTTCAATAAACTTCATATGAAAAACACTCAGAAATAAGCAGAAAACTTAACCTCACTGACTTTAATACCTAATAAGGCATTCAAATAAAATGAAAACCCAAGAACCTGCACGGTCCTCAGAGTTATCCTGAAGATGTATAGCATTTATGGCTCGGCGCCTGTAGCTCAACCGGCTAAGGCCCCAGCCACATACACCTAATCCCCAGCCCGGACCCGCCAAACAACAATGACGGCTGCAAACAAAAAATAGCCCGGCGTTGTGGCGGGTGCCTGTGGTCCCAGCTACTTGGGAGGCAGAGGCAGGAGACTCGCTTGAGTCCAGGAGTTGGAGGTTGCTGTGAGCTGTGATGCCACAGCACCCTACCCAGGGGGACAGCTTGAGGCTCTGTCTCAAAAAAAAAAAAAAAAAATGTATAGCATTTATATATTTCCATTTTAATAGGTGACAGAGCTTGAGGTGGGGGAGATCTATAGATGTCTTAGATGGAATGATGGGATATAGATTCAGTCTAATAAAAATGTACAGAATTCAAGAAATCCTAAATAAATGGAAAGACATCCCTTGTTTATAAAACTTTGTAATTGATCATAAAACTTTATATTATTAAGATGACAATATTCCTCAAATTGATCTACAGGTTAACTATAATCTCCTCTATCAAAGCCTCAATGGGTTTTTTTTTGCAGAAGTTGACAGGCTGATCCTAAATTCTTATAGAAATTCAAGAACTCAAGAATAGCTGAAACATTCCTAATTTCAAAACTTACTACAGTTTGTACCCTCAATGAATCCCAAACAATTAAAAAAAAAAACTTATCACAGTTTGGACACAGTGGCTAATGCCCATAATCACAGCACTTTGGGAGGGAAAAGCAGGAGGATTGCTTAAAGCAAGGAGTTTGAGAACAGTCTGGACAACATACCAAGACCCTATCTCTCAAAAAAAAAAAAAAGTGAGATGGGCATGGCACCTGCCTATAGTGCTAGCTACTTTGGAAACTGAGCTAGGGGGATCGCTCATAGCAAAACTACGGTCATCAAGAGAGTTCACTTCTGGCATAAGCATAAACATACAGATCAGTGGATTAGAAATGAGAGTCCATAAATAAACCGTGTTTATGGTCACCTGTTTTTTGACAAGGGCACCAAGCCATTCATTGAGGAAAGAATAGTCCTTTTAGGCTGAGTACAGTGGCTCACACCCATAATTCTAGCACTTTTGGAGACTGAAGCAGGAGAATCACTTGAGGTCAGCATTTGAGCTGCAGTGAGCTATGATGGTACTGTCATCCTCATGCTGAGGTAATAGAGCAAGACCCTATCTCAAAAGAAAAAATAGTCTTTTCAACAAATTATGCTGGGTAAATTCAATAGTCATGGAAAAGAATGAGCAAGTTAATTTAAAATGGATCAAAGAACTTAAAGAGCTGAAACTTTAATCCTCTTAGAAGACATGGGAGTAAATCTTGGAAATCTTGTGGTAGGCAGAGCCTCTTAGAATGACACTGAAATCATAAGAAAACAAACAAAAGAAAATAAACAAAAGAAAAAAGATAAGTGGATTCTATCAAGATTAGACACTTGTACTACAAAGCAAACCATCAAGAAAGGGAAAAGGCAGCCCATAAAATGAAGGAAGATATTTACAAGTCATGTATCTGATAAGGAACTTATAACTAGAATATCTAAAGAACTCTTACAGCTTGGTAATTAAGAAAAGATAGCCCAATTAAAAAATAGGCAAAAGATCTGAATAAACATTTCTCTAAATAAGGCAAATGGCCAATAAGCACATGAAAAGATGCTTTACATAGGAGTAGAGTAATGCAAATCAAAATCACAATGAGATATAATTTCATACCCACTAGGATGGAATAAAAAGGAGTGAAATACTGATGATGCTGTAATGTGGATGACTGTGTGATTACGTCAGTGAAAGACGCCAGTCACAGAGACTGCAGATTGGATGGTGCTATTTATTTGAAATATTCAGGATATGCAAATCCATAGAGCTAGTAGATGAGTGGTTATCTAGGGCTGGTAAGACTGAGAGAGGAATGGAAAAAAAATGTTCTCAAATTGGATAGTGGTAATGATTGTATAACCCTGTTATAATACTAAACCCCATCAAATTGTATACTTTAAATGGGGGAATTGTGTGGCATCTTGATAAAGCCATTTCACAAGCGTATACAGTAATAATCATTTCTTGGGTTTCAGTTCAGTATTCCTGTGGAATGCTTGTAAGGTGTGCCAGGCAAGGGAGGTGAGTGACTGCCCCTGAAATCTGAAAACAGGTCAGAATCTGGTAGACAGTATGATGATTGTAACAATCTGTGTTGTAACTGAGATAAAGAAAAGAGTGGTGTATAAATACAAAGGAGAGAGGGAGCTAGTTCTGGCCGGGCCTGTGAGTGGTGGCAAGGGGAAATTGGTACCCATGCTAGCCCTCTGAGGAAGGGCAGGCTTTTCTGTAGGAGGTGAGCAGCTGTATTGGTCATAGGGTATCATACGAAGAAGGAACAACAGAAATAGAAATAAGAAGTAAAGCACTACAAAAAAAGTTAAAAATAAATTAAAAAAAAAAAAAAGGTAAGGCACTGCTCCACAAAACATTAAATCCTCCTCTCCGGGGCTGCAGCGTTTGAGTAATAGGACCTCACTGACAGGAAGCTGGAGAGCTTGCTGGGAAGCTGATCTTGGAGAACTTTGTGGAGCTATCTAAAAAAGATAGCGAGTTTTGTCATCACGTGGTCAGCTTATGTGCTGTCACTGGATGATGAAGCAGAGTGGCCAGTATCCAGGGAGATGCTGTGGGATAAGCTTTCTTTATCAGATGTGTGTGGGTTGGACTCTCACCTCTTAGGATTCTTCTGGTGTAGGTCTTTCCACATGGGATGTAACCAGCTCTTTTCCCTGGGATTCTGCAGCTAAAAGGCGAGGGAGCCCAAAAGAAATGAGGTTACTTTTAGGAATTGCCACTCTACTTTTTTAGCTCTTACTGATTTTCTTTTCTTTTTTCTTTCTTTTTTTGAGACAGAGTCTCAAGCTGTCGCCCCAGGTAGAGTGCTATGTGTTATAGGTCACAACAACCTCCAACTCTTGGGCTCAAGCAATCTTCTTGCCTCAGTTTTTCTATTTTTAGTAGAGATGGAGTCTCGCTTTTGTTTAGGCTGGTCTTGAATTCATGAGCTCAAGCAATCCACTTGCCCCGGCCTCCTGAGAGGAGTGCTAGGATTACAGGCATGAGCTACCATGCCTGGCTCTCTTACTGATTTTCTTGAGAAATTACAGTGAATATTTTTATGTCTCCTTATCTTTTTTCTTTTGGTTTCTTCTCACATCCCTGTTATGGCAGATTGTTTTGGTTTGGGGAGAGACATTTTCAATCAATATTTTTAAGTATGTTCTTTTTCTGGAAAGAGTGGCTCTTACTTTTGCATGAAAATATTTATCCTTAAGAATAAAACAAACAGAATCAGACTGTGTTTCAGTTATCTCTTCACTTTTTATGGGCTTATGGCTGTTTTATTTACTTACCAAAATTTACTCACACACACACACGCACGCACGCACTCTGTTATACACGAGTTGATGGCCATTGGCACAATCAAGGCATTGTTTTCAAAACTCAAGTTAACATACAGAGTTAGAAACAGAACAGGATATTTTAGATATTTAAAGTAGTTAGTCCACTCACGTTTTTAAAATGGACATACGGAGTGTGTATCATTCACACTGGTATAAATGTGAGAGAAGTGAATCTCATTTCAAAGTTGAGTACAGTGTGTCACTGCAGTCACTGATCTGTCACAGTGAACGAGTCCAAGCAGCACAGAGTGCACGGCCGTTCACGTGCACATGTCACAGTTCAGAGAGCACCAGTGAGGATGAGAGTCTTGTTTGCTGGAGCATTGGGACACTGCACATAACTCACATCCGTAGTGCCTTGTGGGAACTATGATGCCTGTCTCACATGCCCCGTTGCCATGATCTGAATGATTTGTTAAGTAGGTCCTTTGAATTTCTAAGCAGGCAGTTCTGTCCTTTCTTCTTCCATTGGCTTCTGTGTTAATAAAGTTTTGCCTACTCTTAAGTCCTCATGATGTCAGGTATTCTCAGTGTCTTAGACCTTTAAGTTTTGGTTCTGGTACCAATCAAGGCCAATGGAAACCTTTCTCTTTAGTTCCCAAAAACATGGTTTACACTGATTATCCAACGCCCTGAGAACCAATAGATGTTGATCTCTCAGGGTCACAGGAACATACAAGGGTTACAGACCCTATTTGGAGGTTCACTAGCATATGCAGAACTACCAGTGGGATGTTGTCTATACCAGTCTGTATCCTCATTTACTAGGCCGACCTCACAGAAATCCAGGAGGAGTCACAGGATGCTGAGTTCACAGGATATGAAAGCTCTAGCTATGCTTATGAGAGAGGACTCTGAAAGATACAAAATGAAACGTGTCTTTGGCAGTTCCTTTGGAGATTTTTTATTTATTTTTTTATTTTTTTGAGACAGAGTCTCACTATGTTGCCCCCAGTAGAGTGCTGTCGCGTCATAGCAACCTCAAACTCTTGGGCTTAAGCGATTCTTTTGCCTCAGCCTCCCAAGTAGCTGGGGCTACAGGTGCCTGTCACAGTGCCTGGCTATTTTGTTGTTGTTG